TATCATTGCCGAATCGTCATCACAGTATTATCATCGCCGTATTGTCGTCATGCTATCACCATCACCGTATCATTGCCATGGTTTCATCATTGCCGTATCTTTGTTAAGGTACCATCATCGCAGTACCATAGTCGCATTATCATTATCGCCGTATCATTGTTGTCGTGGTGAACCCTAGCCGTAGCTGCCCGACACGGTGATGCGGAAGAGGCTGCCGGGGATGCAATCATCACCCCACTTGATGATGAGGATGGAGGTGCCCATCTCCGTCACCGTGTAGGTGACGTTGTAGATGACGTTGCCCCTGTGCTTCATGGTGTGCGGGGTCCGTTCACCCCCATCATCAGCATGTCGGTGCCTGTTGGAAGCGGTGGGGTGGGGAAGAGTGGTGGTGCAGTGGTTAGCGTGCTGCGCTACAAACCCAGCGACCTGATACTCCGATATCTGAGCCCGACCTGTGCCTTCCCTAGGTTGACTCATTCTTAAATTAGTACCTGGTGTGGTGTGTAAAGCATCAGCCCTGTCGAGAAAAAGGCGGCTGAGCATGGTGCTGGCCACCCACCCTGTCCCCGATCGACCTTTATAGGTGATCACGAACAGAATTTAGCAATCTTTGAAATAGCGTGATCAACCGGACTATGCGTTAATTGTGTTTTGACCGACCGTCTGTGTTGCTTTATATGGTTTCCAAAATTTTGCTAAACCCTGTTTGTCTGGTATGCTTCTCTCTCTGTGTCCCCTGTTGTATCTGTGTTAGTTCCCCCTACTTGGGTGTCTGTATATACATCTGAGGTTATGTGTTTCCCCTCTCTCGTAAATTTAGCTCTTCTGTACCTGATGATGGCTGCTTGTGTTGCAACCGAAACATCGTACGTTATTATGTTATTTTATTATTTCTTATTTATACGTGACTTTACCGAAAAAACCAAAGAGTAATTCCTGCAGTCACGAAAGCTTCAAATCAAGTCTGAACCACCTATTCGGGGAGGTATGAGGTCTGTGTCTTTGTGTTGTCTCTGCTTTTGTATCTGCCGTTGTGTCTTGGCTTGGATTTGTGGCTCTGTGCTATCTCTACCTGTGTGTGGGCCTTGTTGCTTCTGAGTGGGTGCTGCCACGCCCCACTTTGCTCCATGCACACCTCATGCTAATTTTGTCCCATTGTCTCTCAGCCTTACCTTCTCTGCCTATTTAAGGCGACTTCACTGTGTGATTGTCTCTGTGCTGGTTCGCTCTACTTGGATGTCTGTGTGTGTGTGTGTGCGGTCTGTATTTTGAGTTTCATACTTAACTTGCAATTTAGCAATCTTTGAAATAGCGTGATTAACCGGACTATGCGTTAACTGTGTTTTGACCGACCGACTGTGTTCCTTTATATGGTTTAAAAAATGTTGCTAAACCCTGTTTGTCTGGTATGCTTCTCTCTCTGTGTCCCCTGTTGTATCTGTGTTAGTTCCCCCTGCTTGGGTGTCTGTATATACATCTGAGGTTATGTGTTTCCCCCTCTCGTAAATTTAGCTCTTCTGTACCTGATGATGGCTGCTTGTGTTGCAACCGAAACGTCGTACGCTATTATGTTATTTTATTATTTCTTATTTATACGTTACTTTACCGAAAAAAACAAAGAGTAGTTCCTGCAGTCACGAAATCTTAAAATCCAGTCTGAACCACCTATTCGTGGAGGTATGAGGTCTGTGTCTTTGTGTTGTCTCTGCTTTTGTATCTGCCTTTGTGTCTTGGCTTGGATTTGTGGCTCTATGCTATCTCTACCTGTGTGTGGGCCTTGTTGCTTCCGAGTGGGTGCTGCCACGCCCCACTTCGCTCCATGCACACCTCATGCTAATTTTGTCCCATTGTCTCTCAGCCTTACCTTCTCTGCCTATTTAAGGCGACTTCACTGTGTGCTTGTCTCTGTGCTGGTTCGCTCTACTTGGATGTCTGTGTGTGTGTGCGGTCTGTATTTTGAGTTTCATACTTAACTTGCAATTTAGCAATCTTTGAAATAGCGTGATCAACCGGACTATGCGTTAATTGTGTTTTGACCGACCGTCTGTGTTGCTTTATATGGTTTCCAAAATTTTGCTAAACCCTGTTTGTCTGGTATGCTTCTCTCTCTGTGTCCCCTGTTGTATCTGTGTTAGTTCCCCCTGCTTGGGTGTCTGTATATACATCTGAGGTTATGTGTTTCCCCTCTCTCGTAAATTTAGCTCTTATGTACCTGATGATGGCTGCTTGTGTTGCAACTGAAACGTCGTACGCTATTATGTTATTTTAATATTTCTTATTTATACGTTACTTTACCGAAAAAAACAATGAGTAATACCTGCAGTCACGAAAGCTTCAAATCCAGTCTGAACCACCTATTCGGGGAGGTATGAGGTCTGTGTCTTTGTGTTGTCTCTGCTTTTGTATCTGCCTTTGTGTCTTGGCTTGGATTTGTGTCTCTGTGCTATCTCTACCTGTATGTGGGCCTTGTTGCTTCCGAGTGGGTGCTGCCGCGCCCCACTTTGCTCCATGCACACCTCATGCTAATTTTGTCCCATTGTCTCTCAGCCTTACCTTCTCTGCCTATTTAAGGCGACTTCACTGTGTGCTTGTCTCTGTGCTGGTTCGCTCTACTTGGATGTCTGTGTGTGTGTGTGTGCGGTCTGTATTTTGAGTTTCATACTTAACTTGCAATTTAGCAATATTTGAAATAGCGTGATCAACCGGACTATGCGTTAATTGTGTTTTGACCGACCGTCTGTGTTGCTTTATATGGTTTCCAAAATTTTGCTAAACCCTGTTTGTCTGGTATGCTTCTCTCTCTGTGCCCCTGTTGTATCTGTGTTAGTTCCCCCTACTTGGGTGTCTGTATATACATCTGAGGTTATGTGTTTCCCCTCTCTCGTAAATTTAGCTCTTCTGTACCTGATGATGGCTGCTTGTGTTGCAACCGAAACGTCGTACGCTATTCTGTTATTTCATTATTTCTTATTTATACGTGACTTTACTGAAAAAACCAAAGAGAATAATTTTCCCTGTCTACAGGAGGGCCTTTGTGGTTGGTAGGTGGGGCTGGCATGGTGTGAGCGGGAGGGACATGAATTACTCGGTGTGAAAGGTTGGATTTTGTGACTCACATGTTGGAAAGTGTTGCAGGATACATGTGTGTGTATGACTGTTCTCCCTGGTTTCGCAGTTGACATAGCTACATGTTATGGGTACAGCTAGCTCCTAAACTTTTTCACTCAAGTCTAACTCACCAGTCACGCAACGAATCGTTGGGGGGTCAAGTGGCCACTCGTTGAGTGGGAGGGGTCTGAGGGTCTGACGCAACGGAAACAGAGGGGCGTGGCCATAGCCGTGGAAGAGAGTGACGTCACTGCACACGTGACTTCCGTGTAGTGAGACGTGCAGAGAAGGTAGCAGCAGTAGCAGCACAAGTTGCCGAGCTCTTGTTGCGATTCTTTACGGGGAGTTGAGACGAAGAGGAGGGGGCACGGTGAGACTCGCGCTCACTCACACACTGTCCGACGCGCTGTTTCACTCTCAACCTCTGTCTCACACTCACTGTATCACTCTCACATACTCTCACATTCACTAACGTACTCATTCTCCCTCACATGCACTCTCCCACTCACTCTCACACTAACTCACTATCACACTCACTCTCTTACGTTCCCACTCAATAACTCACAAGCATTCACTCTCATGCTCACATTCACTATCTTGCTCATACTCATTGTCTCACTCGCTCACTCACATGCACTCTCACACACACTTTTACTCTCCTGCTCACACTCTCTCACATTCACTTTCACACTAACTCTCCAACTCATTCACACTATCCCACTTACACTGTCTCTCACTGAATCTCACTCACAGACACTCTCGCACTCTCCAACTCATTATCTCACTCTAACTCACTCTCACACTCTTACTCTCCCGCTCAATAACTCTTACAAGCATTAACTTTCACACTCACTAACTCACACTCACTCAATCACTCACTTTATCATGCTCCCACTCACTCTCATTAACTCCCCCACTCATTTTCACATTCATTCACACTCACTCACACTCATTCTCTCATTCTCACTCACTCAATCTGTCTCACTCGCACACACTCACTTACTATCACACTCACTGTAACTCTCACTCACGTTCACACACATTCACTCTGACACTAACTCTCACTTTACCATGCACTCTCACAACATCAATCTCAAACTAACTTTCACACTCACTCTCACACCCCCTCACACACTGATTCTCACACTCACTAACTCTCAAACTCACTCACATTTATTATCAATAACTCATGCTCACTCACTAACTCTGATACTCCCCTTCACACTATCTCACTCTCAAACTCATGCACTTTCACACCTGCTCTCACTATCTCTCTAACTCTCAAACTCACGCACTCTCACACTCAATCTAATCCTTCCAAACTCTCACACTCACGCTCACTCACTCTCTCATAATCACTTTATACTTTCATGCTCACTATCAGTCACACAGGGTCGGCATCGTACCCACAACTTCCTGCATCCAGACTAATAGTCTACTGGTCGACTCATGGAACACTGGTAGACTACTAGTCCACTGGTAGACTCATGCACATGGACAACTGCCACTGGGAGTTCCCAATGGCTGGACCACATAGCAACTTCGCCCCATATTGCCAAAGCCTGGTCTTCCTCACTGTGGAACCCAGGCCTTCAGCGATGTTGGCTCATTGCTCACTTACTGCACTTTCTCCAACAGATTGCTAAAGTTTTGATTTAAAGCTTTCGTGACTGCAGTAATTCATATTCTTAGTTCTTTCGGTAAAGTCACGTTGAAGGGAAACAATAAAATAATTAAATATATAACAATAAAAATTCTCACGACGTTTTTATTGTTTTATATATTTTATTATTTTATTGTTTCCCTTCAACGTGACTTTACCGAAAGAACTAAGAATATGATTGCTAAAGGTTATACCGGGTGACCTGCATCTTTGTCTGTGTGTGTAGATGGCCAAGGCTGAAGAGAAGGTGGGCTCCAGGAGCGGCGTGCAATGGAGTGCGCTGCCCACATCGGACAGCATTGCCATCGCCAGTAGTAAAACCCCACGAGGTGATAGATATGATTAGAGAAGTCATGGTGGGGGACGTCATGGTGGCCATAGTTGAAAACAAAAACAAGCATGTGAATGGTTATGGAATAAAAATGTTGTGAGGCAGAGTGGCACAGCAGGAACACTCCTCGTGCATTTCTCTTTGGAGTCGGGATGATCTCCCCCTGCTCTGCATGGGATTCCTCCAGGCTCTCCAGTTTCCTCCACACAGCGAAAGAAAATTATTAACACATCCCAATGCTAAAAAATAGTGTTGGTGATTATATGCAGTCCAGGCACTCAGTGGAGCTTTCTTGGGTAAACAAGCATCGTATATTTTATTATCATTTCAGCAGGAATGGCCAAATAAGCAGCCAGGTTATGTTTCATGGGTGTCCTGCGATCGTTTGGATGTTAAACAAGTCTTCATGTCAAAAGCGCGGTTACATAGGTGGTGATACCAAATTTGTCATTAGTCTGTTCTTCACATGTTACAGGAATACGGAATTGGTTAAAAATCCAATGGAAAAAAACACTACATTGCTTAATGAACAAATTAAAGAAACGAAAACGTTTTATTTAACAAAACAATATTAAAACAATAGTACAGTATTAATCATCATCATTGTTCTTATGTTTTCAGAAATCTTGAAGCTCTTTGGGGATTTTCTGACCCCCACCGAGAGAAGCGAGGTCCTCACCGTGAATAACATCTGGTATTTCGGCGTCCATAACAAACGCTTTGGCACCCAGAACCATGGCTACGATGATGTCTACAACCATTATGTCTCGGTACGGCTCTCCTCAGGGCACGTAACAAGTGGAGAACATACAAAGTCTGCACACTGACAAACACCATGATCATCTGCAGAACAGGCGGACAACATACCCGACACATTCACACAATCACTCTTACACATGCCATACAAAATATTGCATCCATACTCAGTGACTGAATGAGCAGTGACTGGATCAGTATACTTAGTTGATGTGATTGCTCCGCAGGTCGAGCATGAGCACCTCAATTTCCGGTATGAGGTGCTGAAGAAGGTGGTCGGACCTTACAGCCAGATCTTCAAATGCCGTGACCACAAGACCAACACCCGAGTGGCTGTGAAGATGTGGAGACAATCATTCAGGTAAGTCTTCACAATGGCTTGCATGGAGAAGGCAGGACAGTAAATCAATTCGATCTTTACGTGGGTAGTGTTATGGTGCTCATGTGTGGGGTTTCTCTGGATTTATGTTTAACTTCTTTCGCGCCGTACGTAGCCCACTGTATTAATCGCGGGTGTGATGAAGGACAACTGTCTTTCAGAGCGAGCGACATACTGCGTGTTACAAGGGTCACTTCTTGTAATTAATATGAAGCTGTGGATTTCCGCTGTGCAGTGCTGAGGAAGACCACAGCCAGTGGATGGAGTACCACATCTTGCTCCAACTTCAGGGCTGGGCTAATGATGATGTCAACGTTGTCAGAATCCTCGACTTTTTCACCTTCAGGGGTCACAACTGCCTCGTCATGCAGCTCATACCGAAGTACGTACCCCGCTGTCTGAGCAGCTCAACAGAGACATGCAAAACTGGCTGCTCCACTCCATTTTCACCTCCAGACTTGCTCATTTTTCTACAGCCACGCCAACAACCGACAGTGTGGCGGCAGTGGTAACACTCGTGCATCATACCAAGAGGTTGGTTTCGATTGCTGACTCGGATATAAGTGTCTGTGTGGAGTTTGTTCTCCCCTTGTTCTGCATGGAATTCCTCTGCATTCTCCGGATTCCTCCAATAGCAAAACACTCGCACACAATTTTACTGGCATCCGACAAATTTGCCAATTCTGAGGAAATACCTTAAAATTACTCAGTTGGGATTACATATAGGAACAATGTCACCCCGACAGGAGAACTTGGCAGGACCCTCGGGAAAATATGTTTACATTTAGTGAGGCTTCCATATGATAAACGAGTATAATAATTGTTATTGTTGACTCAGACCTTTACAGGATAGCACTGACTTTGTGTTGTCTCTTTAACAGAAGACGTCTGTTAAGTGCCATTGATTGCACGGCACCCCAGCACATGGAGATGACAATGGTGAAACTCTTCACCAAGTCCATTCTTAAATTCCTCATTCAACTCCATGCAAAGGGAATCGTGCATGGGGACATCAAGCCGGTGAGTGGAGACCACGTTCAGCGCAACTGCAGCATTAATTTGAGTTCCCGTTCGGGGCTCGTCCTCGTAAAACCTAGACCCATTGATCAAAGCGTTAATGCATCCACTCTGTCAAACTGTCAATAGCTGCGGGTCATGATAACTGTCGTACAGAGGGTTATGTATGGGTGAAACTTAAGTTTAAATGTTTTTTGCTATTAGGGACTCACAAAAGAGAAAACCAGACACGTCGAAACAAAGCAATGCCCAAATCATGGAGACACAAACCAGTGCAAGTAAAAGGAGGCTTTGCAAATAAGCAGCTGTGCTTTAACCTGACAGCTGCCCACCTGTTTTCATGCTGCGCATGAGAATGCGTTACCAACTTCATGCATGTGCATGCTTCTGCCTAACTCACACTCACAGCTACAAGCTCCGTTCGGCCCTCTTGTAACAATCGTTATTCAGGTATGATAAGAGCGCCCTCTTTAACGCCGGGTACCCAAGAGTGCTCTACATGAGATTATCGATTGGCATCATCTTATCTAAATACATTTGAATTGGCACCCCATTGGCAGCCGTCAGAAAACATTTTCTTGAGTCGCTATGAATAACCTTGGAAAAAGGATGTCATCTCCAATTTCCCTTTTAATATTTATTATGGTAATTTTGCTACATGATCAATCTTCTGCAGGCTGAATAGTTGTGCATGCCTGTAATGCAGCACTGTAGAGCTGCAGGTTGGTGGATCACACCAATGGTGTGAAACATCGTCTGTGGCCCCTCCTGCCTCAGAGTGGTTCTCGCTCTTCCAGATAGAGTGAATACTGCGTGGCATTGGCGTATTACAAGTTGACATTATTATCATAACCTCTGAATGTGAATATCTTCTGCTGCCCATCGTCTAGAGGAACATGTCGATTAAAGAGCCTGGGGCAGGGACCATCCGGATGATGAGTTTTGAAAACAGCTTTTTGGTGGGACGCCAACGTGAGTCGTGAGTGTGTGGCTGAGTGTGAGAATGTGTGTTTATGCAGTTTGAGGAGCAGTAGTGTAGTGTTTATATTCTTTGGTTCTTTCGGTAAAGTCACGTAGAATGAGAATAAAATAAGAAATTGATCAAATAAAATAACACAATAATATTCTCATGACGTTTCGGCCACAACACAAGCGGCCTTCATCAGGTGAAGGGCCGAAACGTCGTGAGAATATTATTGAGTTATTTTATTTTATCAATTTATTATTTTATTCTCATTCTACGTGACTTCACCGAAAGAACCAAAGAATATGAATCCTTGCAGTCACGAAAGCTTTAAATCGAGTAGTGTAGTGGTTAGCACGCTGCACTACAAAACTGGCGACCCAGGTTCGAGTGGCGGTTTTCTGAACCGGTCATGGGCCTCCCCTAGGTAGACTCAGTCTCAAATGAGTACCTGGTGTGGTGTGTAAACAATGCCACTCAGGAGACAAAGGCGGCCAGGCACGGTGCAGGTCACCCACCCCCTTCAAGTGTCGTTCCAGACTTCATAGGTGGTCACTAATTGCACTTGCCCCAACAATGTCTAAGGCTACACGGGGGAACTTTTCTTTGTTTATGCAGTGAGGAACCGTGGTGTTGGGGTTAGTCGACAGCACTACAATCCTGGTGACTGGAGTAAAATGCGCGTTCGTGAATATCTGAACCAGTCCTGGGCCTCCCCTAGGTCGACTCAGCCATAAATGAGTACCATGTGCGGTGCCTAGGCACCACCACTTTAGGAGACAAAGGTGGATGGGCGTGGTGCTGGCCACCCATCCTCGTGTGTGTTGTTCAGGCCTTCATTAGGTGCTCGCTAAAAGCAAATTCCAGAGAAATTTGTTAAAGGCTATATGGGGACGTTTTGTGTGTGTGCGTGTACACGTGTTTGCATCTCTGCGCCTGTGTGTGTGCATGTGTCTAGACCTATGGGTGATTAAATGTGTTTTTATACTTGTTTTTTTGTGCCTGTGTGTTGCTGTTAAAGGCTATATTTGTGATATTTGTCTTTTGTAATTCACAGATTCACAGATTTTTTGTTCCCACGCGTACCTTGCCCCAGAGGCGTACCTGGGCCACATGTCATCTTTCCCGGTTGACATGTGGGGACTGGGTTGTACAGTGGCCGAGTTGGCTACCGGACGCATCCTCTTTCCGGCCATCAACAAACACGACCAGCTCCCGTGTTATATGGAGGTATTGCCCACACAGCAGTAACACTGACAATTCCGTTATTGTCATCAATTTCATGACCAATTTGCTCTTGAAATCGCCCAACTCAGTCATTGCTTCTAACCACGTTCACTTCTCAGCGAGTATTTCCGCATCAAGGGTATTAACATAATCTTCAAAATTGGTATGACCAATAGAATATGCGACAGGAAATAGTTACTTACAATTCCCTGAGCAGACCACGTAAGTCGTCTCTTCTGTGAGAAAGAGGCATACAAGTGCTTGCGACTGGTTGCAGGGTTGTCCACACACAAGCTACTGAGTTGCATTCAACCGCGTGACAGAACCAATTACTCAGGCGTAGACCCGTCAAGGTAACCGTGAGCAGAACGCATAGATTTTTCGAGCTGGTTTTATGACTCGTGATAGCTTATTGCGTGAGGCCACGGATTGGCCACATGTAACCCTAAAACCACCTGCAAACAATTTGAATTGTCAGATGAACAAGCATTTATCGCGCCAATTATTGTTGTTTCATCTCAACTGCTTGTAATGAAGACAATTGTCACAACCATATAAGCAATTTCAAATGAAGCCACGGGACCCATAACCTCCGCTGTGAATGAGGCAGATGGTGCATAGTATTTTGTGGTTTAATACCGCAGGAAAGACCAGGGCAGTCACTGGGATTGATCGGTGAACTTCTGCAATGTGCTGCGTACGCAGTTTTGCTGGGCCATGCCAATAACACTGCCGTGTGCCTGCATGCGAGAACCATCGGGAGTTGTAGCTGAGTGGTTAGCGCCCTGACCGTGTGGTGTTGAATGTTGGACCAGTCCTTGGCCTCTCAAATATCGACTCAGCATTAAATCAATACCTAGAGTGATTTGTAAAATAGCTACTGCGGTGTGGCCTTGGGTGCTGTGCCATCATCAGTAGGTGCTCACAGACAAAACATGCCACACAAGTGTTTCAATACTGTATGGGTGATCATTGTCTCTTTGTAAATTGTGTGTAGACCCTCGGGATGCCTCCTCAGAATTTGATTGATGGCGCGCCTGGGAGAAACAAGTACTTTGGTGAGTGAAGGGGCGAGCGGGGGAAGCGCGTTAAGTTTGAGGCAGAGCTGGGTCTGTTAAGAGTTTAGTGGGGCATTACTTTGTATAGTTAACTACTTCCACACGTGTTTTTGCAGTCAATATAATTCGTAATGCTTTTTTGGGGAAGGGTTAGGCCTCATGGTGATCTGCCCAAATTTGTGTCATTAAGGCTCTCCACCACCTGACACAGGCAAGCAAATTAAAGTACAATGAAGTGCAAGCAATTAAAGAGACGCCAGTTGTGACTAGTAATCATTATTTTAGTAGAATCATCTGTAATGTGAAGGGCAATGCTCAAAACCACGTTTAGCAATCAGATCGGACGTTTTTAGGAAGCTGCAGAGGCAAGGAGACGTTTCCTCCCTCACCTGCAATGTAGAAGGTCGTCGCGTGGATCCCCACCCTGGCTGCTGTACATTGCGGGACCATATCCTCTCCCCTTTGCCTGGTCACCTCTGAAGAAGAGGCAATAGTTCAGTGGGCTTTACCTGGTAAAAAATAATGTTTTGCTTGAAAGAGATTAAATCACGGTTAAAATAGCTCTTCTTTCTTTACCTCTAGGATTTATCATAGTTAATAATTATTGATTGCACTTGGTATTTGCGCTATCATTCTTAGTCATTTCACAGTAGCGGGCATAACGCCAGCACGGTAATTTTATTACTTTACAAGGTCTGTAATGTCCCATTTTAAATCAAACAGCGCAAAGCATCATATGGTTAATACTGAAGTAATAACCAGGGCGGTTTGCAGAATTTGAACCATGAACTTCTGCAACAAGCGGTCAAAGCACTCCCACTGATCTATGTTAGAGCACTAAAAGATTTTGTTTCTGTGCTGTGGGTGTACAAGGGTGCTGTGGTTTGTTGTGATGTTTAACCTGGTCTGCATCGTTCCTGCAGATGGTTCGGGGATGCCTTTGATGTCCGTACAAAGCAGGGTCCCAGGCAGTCACCCCCTCTACCTGGCACTCGGGAGCCAGGACTCGGAGTTCCACGACTTCATTAGCCGCTGCCTGGAGTAAGAACACACCCCCGCCCCCACCATACCACCGAGAGGTTTTCCCATTCAGTCACCTGGTAAAAAGAAAAGCGTTTAATATTTTAACATCACTGGCGAACGATCACTAGCTCCACCCTTTATTCTGATTATTCTTCATCTTCCAAGCCATGTCTCCCATTAAACACCATTGTCCATAGTCTTGCATGTAAAAAAAGCACTGACATAGAGATCCACAGACTCACATACTTACATGGTCCATGCACGTGTAGTGACTCAGTCGGAGACAGGGTTCTTAAGGGACCTTCCTTATTCCACACGTCAGGAAACCACATGTGCCCCGCGTGTGTACGCACTAGTCACACATCCATGTTCTTGAAGGTACTACCTAGCTGGAACAGTCTGCAGGCTGTCTAGCTTGCGGCGTCTAAGGTGGTCGGAGACGGCACCGAAGAAGGTGACGAACGGCGACACGGCGAGGGGATCCACTTCCAGCAACAGCCCCGAGCTCCGGTCCCGGGCCCCCTTTTATTCCCCTGGCGTGGCCTCGCCCCGCCCTTGCACCGCCCTCTTTCTCGAACCTACTAGCGGGTTCTCAGGCTTCCAGATCGATTTATTCCTGGGCTTCCCTTTAGATCTCCCTCTGCTGACGTGTGTACTGCCCCCTGCTGCCTCTGCCGCTTCCTCGTCAGCAGCCCGCGTTATTACACTACACACGTAAAGAGAGACCCATATACTGTCATACACTCACATGGTCCATACCAATATCCGCCATTAGCCCCGAAGTGTGTGAGTTCCTCACACAATCCAGCCTGGTTAAACCTAGGATGGATCGAAGGAAGGCCAGCCTAAACGTCCCTAACAGGCACAGATGTTCCTTTAGAGGGGTCCACGTTTCACAAGCATCAAGAAGAGAGGGCATGACTGTGCCCGAGAAGATCTGAAGCTTCGTATGGAGCGACAAACTAGGTAGCTTCCAAACAGCATTGCTCAGCCGATAAATAAACGCCGAAATACTGCTGATTCAGAGTGAAACCTCTGCTGTCGAACCGGAGCTGGTCATAAGCACACTGGCCAGGTTTGGGAAACTCTCCACTCTCTCCACAACTGTTCCATGACAAACAGGGAGCTGAGGGTGTGGAATGTTTGATAATACAAAATACCCAGGCAAGTGCTTAGTTTTGGTGCAACTGATGGTAAGACCACACCTCTCAGTAGTACACTCCAGGTTCAACATCTGTGCTTCTTACTTCGCCTCTGAGTGAGCAGCAATCACCAGATGAGCATACATAACTTGGTTGACCAATAGGGAGCCATTACTCGACCCACCCAGGCATCGATCAGCCACATTAAATAATGTGGGAGGCAGAGGACATCCTGTTCGCACCCCAAGGTAAACAGGGAATGGCTCTGACTTCTGGCCACATAGCTTCACCTGCGATTGCCCACCATCATGAAGGCCCTTAATGTCCACACACTTACATAGAGACCCACAAACTTGCATACACTTACATCAGCCATACATTTACAAATACATAGACAAATAGACTCACATGCACTGACGTGTCCATACACATATAAAGACCCAGACTCATACACTCACATGGTCTATACACTCATAGAAACCAATAGACTCACATACTCTTACATGAAAGCCCTTAAAAGGAACATATATCGATATATGTATATCATGTATGTGGAGGGGGCTTGGTGAAGGATGCCACTGGGCAACGCCAGGCTACACGTACCTTGAGGCTACTGGACAGTTGTAAGCATTGACCCTCCAACAACAATTGAGGGTGGTGGAGCGATGTTCACAATGACGGACCACCAGGCCGACAAATACATCAAGGTGGCACAGTGGGGAGAACAGAAGGTTCATCTGCCAGTCATCACCAATAGTGGAGAATTTATGCTTCTCCCTTTTTTATATAGTCAGGTCCTGCAATGTTTTTTTTAATCAGGGCTCTATGACACAATCAGCCACTATTGAGTCATGACATAGGCAACATCGTGGCGTATAGGTTAGATTATTGCAACTCACTAGTCTACGGGACGTCTGGAAATAGCATTAGGAAGCTGCAGCATGTACAAGATTCTTTGCAAGATCCAACCATGCCCGTCCAGTGTTCACGGAGCTGCATTGGATTACACTTGCTAAACGAATACATCACACTCAATACACACAAAGTGCTTACCACAAATGAACCACAAATGAACCACAACACCACTGAGGCAGTTAACTTTTAAATATAGATTGAAAACTACTTTTTTTAAACTCATGATTGAATGTAGTTTGTTGTCCTTCACCCGTACCTGCAATTGGCACGGTTGGCTATGTACGGTGCGAAATAAGTTGAACATACACACGTAAGTTAATGGACACAGTAAGAGAAAAAAATGCACATAAATCCTTACATCATTATCACCCTTGCCACGTGTGCCACATATTTCTGTGTGCCTCAACAGATGGGATCCAGCTCTGCGGATGACACCAGCAGAGGCACTGGCGCACAGCTGGCTGAGGGATGAGGAAATTCCGAGGGATGAGGAAATTCCGAGGGATGAGGAAGTGCCGAGGGATGAGGAAGTGCCGAGTCAGTGTGTCCCTGTTGTGGACACATCAATCCACTCAGAGGCATCCGCCAAGGAGGAGACTAGACAGTGGGGTGAACCCCTGCAGAAAGAGAAGAAGAAGTCACGTCTGGTTCGAGCATACAGGGCCGTATGCTCATTCTTCCGTGGCTTTAAGAAATGCACCGCATGCGACCATAATGCTCATCCTGGGCGCGTACACATTCCACACACCGTATACACACACGCTCACCTAAGCGAATACATGAGCAACTTCCGGTGCTAGCATCGATATCAGATCCCATCTCCTGAGTTTTTTACCCCCACACATTAAGAATAAATCCCCTCTTAACGACGGTAATTGGTTCCATGAATACGGTCATTAAGTAAGTTGGTAATTAAACAAGTACAGTCGACCCTTAGACATCGCAGGGGTTAGGGGTGCAGGCCCCGCGATCTGGAAAAACCAAGTTAAATGTTTTGGTCCCCTTGGTGAGCGAAGCAAGCACCTCCAGTTACTAAACTTTTTAAGTTATCTCTAAATGTTCAGCCTTTGCATGTCGTCTGCTGGCTTTTGCGTTCTTTTAGCAAACTTAACTTTTTACAAAATGTAACTTTAAAAAATAAATTGTGTATATTTATGGTATTGAAAGATACAATAGATTAATATTATACAGTACTGTACATATATTTTATGGATTTATGAGTCCCTAAACTTTTTGTGTCGTCTGCTGACCTTCGCGTGTCATCTGTTGCTTTCGCAAAACTCCCAAAAACTCCCCAAAAATTCCCATTTTATTTCTTATAACGACCCCGCAATATATTGAAACCGCAATGGGGAAAGTCGCGATGCAGAAGGGTCGACTATAATTTGGTCATTAGGCAAGTATAGGAAAGACATGTTAAAGGCTAAATTTGTTTCCATAGCATCAAAAGTTACCCCTTTTCCACCCATAAAACGTACTTTATAATGTTAAAAAAATGTATATTAACAAATAAAGTTACTAACAACATGATAAACACATAATATTAGAAGAAACATGGTTAATTCATTAATATTCCATTGTAATAAAAAATCAACAAAGTTGCATGATAAAGCGAGACGAATACAGCAATATTGTATAGAGTAAAACACAGTCCGCGATGACACGCGAGATGCGTATGCAGGCTGAACAATGACTGAGGTGCATGGGTAGCATCTAGATTCGCCTTGCGTGATCTTATGCCGAGGCAGCCATACAACCACTTATTCCAACTCGCACGGCATAGTTCTATTCACTCAATCGCGTTTATCCAATTCTCATCCGCGTTATAAAAATAATGTGTTCCTTAATACAATATTTGCGTGATGAAAACATGCTTTATAGCAGAACTGACTGTACACACATACACACTACACACACCAGACACATGGGACTAGCCCATTAGTGTAGTTAGCCCTACGCTGGTCCCTGCCATCCTGGTTTTCAGCTGGGCAGTCCTCAGAGGATGACCTCGCCACGGTTTCCAGGACATGGAAGGGCATAGCTGAACCAGCATTTGAGAGCTGAGGTGACCTGGTGACATCACAGGTGAAGCCACAAAGGGCAAGTACCAAGGCCACCTGTTAACAGTTAAGATTAATTTTATTCATAGTTATATAAGTATCATTGTTGGTTTAAAAGACGTAATAAAAAGTACAATATTCGTAACATCGTCTCAAACTCGTCTGTATGTCATGCAACTCGGAGTTCAGCGGGGGAGGGGATGGGGAGGGGTCTGGGTCTTGGCTTCACCGACTCCCACTTGAAACCCACGGTGGGACTTGTGCCTCCTTGTCATGCATAGAACGGTTCCACTCGGTGTGGACGCTGATGCGCAGTGGCCCCGATGAGTCACTTTCGGTATGGTCTGATTAAGGGCCCTTGCAATCAATCAACTCAGCCTCTCGACTTGTCTACCGCTATGATGTGTTTACACACACTACTTGGTGCATTTTTCCTCTGGTCAAACAGTGTCCATTACCTCTACCGCACCTTTAAGCCCCAGGTGCCTCCCAATAACCTCTATCATCTACACAATGCAAAAATGAAGCCTCGAGACCTCATGCACCACCCTGAACGTGTGGTTAAGATGGTGATGGCTTTAATGTACACACGTGGACCTCCGAGTAGCAAGGTTGGCTACGTATGCTGCGAAAGAAGTTCAACATACATACATATGTGGGCAGAGTCAACCGGCCCTTTATGTTCATGCAGGGCGTTGGATACTCACTTTAGTTTGGTAAACTTAGCATCCCACCAACTCCGAAAAAGCAAATACGCACACTCCCACCTCCTCTGATACTCTGTAACACTCGGCTTGCTATCAAGGCCGATGAAGACAAAGCATCAGAGGGCCTCTCTGGCTCACTTTCACCATTTGTTCTTACAAGTAAAACTCTGGACCGGTTTTAACATTCAGTGTCTCATCAAGAGCCAGGCTTGCTTGAACCATTTGTTCAGTTCCAGCAATACTCTGGACCGGTTTTGACTTTCATTGTCTCATCAGCAGCAGATTCACCATCATCAGGCTCAATCGAGCCTGACTCTGCCGCTGATGAGAGCCTGAACGTTGAAACTCGTGTGAAATGTGATTCTCATCGGGCCCTAGGCCCATGGTGTAAACCAATGCATGCCTGCAGCTCTTAGCATCCAATCTGCCTCTCTCCTGGCTTCTCTGTGAATGTGGTATGAAGAAGAAAGGAAGTCCATTTCCCAAAACGTCGCCTATTGTGCCTATTGTATATTTTAATTCAGTCATAGCCTCACATGCTACGCTATTATTGATGACATGGAGAAGGGTCATTGCAAAAAAAGTCACCAGTTCATCTGTTGATTACGTCATTAGATGGGGAGGGGGCGGCTTCCCTGACGTGAAAAGAGTGCAGAACACTCAGTGCAAGAGAGAGACACAGACACAGAAATAAACACAGCGACACAGAATCATGAAGACACAAAAACACACAGAAACACAGTCACTGTGGCAAAGAGGCATACAGAAAAACAGAGATACATAAACACAAAAACACATAAACACTGAGACACAGAAACAGTGACAGGGACACGGTAACAGGAATACAAAAACACAGACACACAAAGATACAGAAACACATACAGACACAGAAACACAGCAAAAAAACACTCAAAAACACATACAAAGAAACAAATATACAAACACTTAAACAGAGACATAAAAACAGACGGATAGAATCACAAAGACACAGAAACACAGACAGACGCACAGAGACACAGATACACAGATGTAGTTGAGGTGTAGGTCTCCCCCTTCTATTCCACTAACATGGTCCATCCGGCACTCACCCTGGATGCAATAACCCCTTTTTATTAACTCCAACACCACCACCACCACTCAGTCTGTCAGTTGGGGCATCCCTAATCCTGAATAGCCATGCGCATCGGGGTAACAAGGGGAAAAAACAGAACTATATACCACAATACGCCCGCACGCTTGTACGCACCTGCCATGCCATCCCACAGAGGTGCAGGCTGTGGTTTCTCGCTCTGAAGAACACGAGTAGCCAGGGCACAGCGTGAGTAGAACAGGCCCAGGGTGGAAGGTCATGGATGGTGTGAGCAGGGGGTGTATGGAATCTTCCGAGGGTAGTCACGATGTCTCAGCGCATACGACTGGGAGCACGCAGTGGTTACGAATGCCTGTCAACCTGATATCTTCAGCCAAGTGTCTACCGTTATGCTGACAATGCAGCATCGTGATAAGCCGCTTTGTATCTATATTCCTGGGATTCCCTGCTCCATGTCCCACTGGATCATGGTTCCGAGGTTAGCAGAGTTAGCCTAATAAACCTAATAGACATTGTACACAGTTGTTTACAAATGGAGCTGTTTACAAATGGTTTAGAGATGGGCGGGGTAGCTAATGTTAATGTGGGGGAGGTCTCTGACACCTGCAGTAGGTCTACACCAATCAACGAGCTGTTTACAAATGGTTTAGAGATGGGCGGGGTAGTTAATGCCAATATTGGAGAGGTACTACGGAGCTGTGTGGGGTGGCCATTGTATTGTGAGGGTTTAGCATTTGACCTGTTGCGATCGAAACGTTGTGCTATTGTTATTAGTTTATTTTTTAATTTTTTTCTATCTACGTGGCTTTACTGAAAGACCCAATGAATATGAATGCCTGCAGTCATGAAAGCTTTAAGTCAAGATTCGTACCAGGTAAGGCACACCGAGCTAAAGAGTTATTTTTCAAAGCTTCCTGGCCACAAATGATAGCTCAACGAAGTGGCTTTTCATTTGGAAATTTAAAGCATTCAAATACTTTGTAATTTGAATCAATGTGTTATATAATCAACACAGTACTATGGTGACAATGCAAAACCTGGTTAACAAGATGGTCAGATGTTTGTAAGAATATTGTTGCAATTGCTGATGTGACACGGCCACTTAGATTATGCACCCCATGGATGAACATCCACACGGCTTGTTCAATCTACTGCTAGATGAATGCCTCACCACAATGTTTTGGTGGCTGTTTGACCATCCCTTGCCGGGCGGTCACGCGTGATGAATCCACTGCTGGATGAGGGCTTCCCCAAAGCCGTCGCCCTTTCCACAAGCCCGCGATGTAACAATCCACGCAGCAGCAGCTCGGGCTGCTGCTGCTGCTGCTGTACGCCACCTGATCTCACCGCTTTATCTCCCCGGATGTGGTCAATCCCAGACGCGGTCCGTTCGCTTGGTCGCCACACCCCTCGCCGTTCGTGGCCATCAGTCATCGCACCTTCTGGCCGGGACGCATCCACTCCAAAGCCCCCTGATGATGATGATGATGTGGATGCAGATGCAGATGATGATGATCATTATCATGTGCATGATGTAGATGATGTGGATCATGATGTAGATGATGTGGATCATGATGTGGACGATGCTGATGATACGGACGATGGTGATGATGAGGACGATCGTGATGTGGCCGAAGACGATGGTGGTTGGTCATGGTGATGTGGATGGTGGTTATGTGGATGAGGGTTATGTGGAGGATGCTGATGTGGCTGAAGATGATGTGGGTGGTCATGATGATGTGGATGATACTGATGTCGATGATGATGTAGATGATTATGATGTGGATAATAATGATGTTGGTGATGATGTCGATGATGATGTAGATGATGATTATGATGTGGGTGATGATGTTGGTGATGATGTGGGTGAAATTAGATTCGAAGCTTTCGTGACTGCAGGAATTATGTGGTGCCACCACGGCGGAGTAGCTCCTTTGGGGACCGTGCCCACCACCGCGACACCACCCCTGGGGTGTGACAACGCCGACGTAGCGCACTTTGCCGCACCCCCCCCCCCCCCCCCGCACGAAGGCCGGAAGGGGAGATCACCTGGCCGATAGGTTTTTTTCCAGAAGTCCCTAATGGGATTAAGTTTCATGGTTTCCTACGGCCGGAAATTTGGCCGATCTCCCCCCGTAGCTGACATGAACCACGGCGCCGTGACCTGATATTAAAATCACGTAGTCGCGGCGGAGGCCTTGAAGCCACCACGGACGAAATTACACACGCGGCATGGGGCGTGTGAACCATGAGATGCCTGTTGTTATAGATGGAATTGGGAACTGAATGCCCCTGATTATAGGTGAGCTCACGGATTCAAATGACAACCGGATAGGAGCATTCAGGCCTTTGAATGAGCAGGGCGACGCGGGGCGGAAGCATCTGAATGCCTTTTGTGCTAGATAAGGTCACAGGACGGAATGCCTTTGTTAGGATCAGGGATCTAGATAACAAAGGGGTAAGAATATCCAACATCTGAATGGACAGGTCAAGCTGGGGTGTGAGAACCACAGTGTGCCTTTATTATGAATTAGGGATTAGGGACTCGATGACAATGAGATAAAAATAACGCGACCTCTGATTTGGCCGAGCAGCATAGGTGCGAAAGCATCGGAGTGCCTTTTGTTATAGGTAAGCTAATAGACTCGAATATGAAAAGGCACGGGCGATGATGTGTAGGGTCCGTGCAATATGTTAGGTGATAGGTAGGATAAAAAGGAGGTGAGGGGGACAGTAAAAAAAGTCTTCTTCTGCAAAATCATCACGGTCCATGGGGAAGGAGGGTCAGCCGTTCGAGACGTCCGTGCGACGAGCCCAGCGCAGCTAGACTCAACCCTCTCCAGAGACGACTCACAGTATCGCCTTTCTACAGCGTTCACCGCAGCAGAGTAGAAGCAATCGTAAGTAGCGGAGAGGTAAGTTTGGGCTATTGAATAGAGGGTAGAAAGCGGAGCTATAGGCAGGATAAGCTGAATCTGGGCTCCTCGAGGAATAGGTTAGGAGGGACTGTGGCTTCGCACAGACACCCGCAGTTAGCGGGATACTCGCGGGGAATAAAACCGCTAATAGAGGATAAAGCTGTGTCGTGGTCGCTGTGAGTGCGAGGAGGGAAACAGAGTGTTTGGTTTTGATTTAAAGCTTTCGTGATTGCAGTAATTCATATTCTTAGTTTTTTCGGTAAAGTCACGTTGAAGGGAAAAAACTAAGAATAAGAGTGTTTGGTGTTCGCATACCGGTATGAGTGTGTACAGTACTGTTTTGCCACGGCAGAGGAGTTCGTTCTACCGTGTTTCAAGACTTGATATAATTTAGTGGGCTCACATGACATTGACT